ATCAAAAAGAAGGCATTCTGTATGCAAAACTAAATGAGCCATAGCTTTGGAGATATGCAGGCCAAATCTTCATTTCCCTTTTAAAGTGCACTATGGCTCAGCTCATAACACATGTTAAGTCTCAATTATCTGATAAAATATCTCTTGCACATGGCACTGGTCTAGATAAGCCAAGCAAAAGCTAACAGTAATTTACAAGCATCATGTAAGCACCCCATCTTGCTGGGCGCATCTCAATACAGTCCCCAAAATATCATATCATACACATGTATGTTAATTTATTTAATATCATATTTTTCCATAGGTGATTCTATAGGGAGGGATTCGGGATCTACTAGGGAAACTGTCAAAGCAAAATGAATTAAAAAAAAAAAAAACAAGTGGGGAAAAAAAGGAAGAAAAAAGAAAAAGTTAGAGCCAGGTATGGTGGCTCATGTCTATAATCCCAGCATGTAGAAGGCTGAAGCAGGAAGATCTTCACAAGTTCAAGTCCAGCCTGGGTTACATAGTGAGTTCAAAGCCAGCCTGAACCACACAGCAAGACCTTGTCTCAAAAATATAAAAAGAAAGAAAGAAGTGGGGATATAGCTCAATCCAAAGTCCCTGGCTTTAACTCCCAGTATCATACATAAATGAATGAATAAATAAGGTAGATGCTATCATGGAACGTATCTTCTGGCAGGAGACACAGCTTTAAACACATGTCAACATAATTACTAAATTAAAATTATAAGTAGTATAAAAGAGAACCCTCCGGAAAATAAAAAGCCTATAAATGATGAAAGGAACTTAATTCAGCCCAGTAAATAAAAGAAATTTCACTGAGGAAAAGGTGATGAGCCAAACTTTAAAGAATAAATTAAAAAAAAGTACAGAAAAGAAAAAGCATTTAAAAAAAGAAAAAGTACTACGGTCAAAGCACATGAATGATATATGCAAAAGGCCCAACATACTGTGTTTTGTCACTGGGAGCATAAAAAATCTACCCTATCTTGATTCACAAAGCCAAATTTTACCTTAGGGTATTATACCACCAATTCATTAATTTCTGGATTTGTATGCCAGATTCAGTTTAGAGATGAGCTATAGTCTAAAGTTTGATTAAAAAGTTATGTTTAAATTGGGTGTGGTGGCTCATGCCTGTAATCCCAGCACTCGGGAGGCTGAAGCAGGAGGATCATTGCAAGTTCCAGACCATCCTAGGCTATAAAGTGAGCTCAAGGCCCACCTGAACTGCACAGCAAGATCCTGTCTCAAAAAGACAAAAAAAGAAAATTATGTTTAGAATGAAAAATATTTTTTCTGTGACAAAAGTAGTACAAATAATAGTACTAGGAACTGAGAGCCTTTGCACTGAGCTATATCTGCTCTGCCTTTTAAATTTTTTGAGACAAAATTGTCTCACAAAATTGTCCCAGACTGGCCTCAGCCTCCTAGAGGGCTGGGACTACAGGTGGTGAGCCACCAGGTCCTGCTCTGTTTCATTTTGTGCAAGCAAGACTCTGTCTCAAAAAAGAAAACAAAAACAAAATGAGGACTATACTCATTTTATAGCCCAGATTGCCTCAAACTCACAGCAATCCTTCTGCCTCAGCCTCCCACATGTTAGGATTACAGTCATGCCTATGACACTCAGCTCCCTTTTATTTTTGAGACAGAATCTTGCTAAATTATCCACAATGGTTTTGACTTTGTGAGCATCCTGCCTCAGCCTCCTGAGCTGGCATTACACTTCTGAGCCACCACACTCAGCTATGCTGCTCTCCCTTATCCTTGTTATCCTGTTTAAAAAAATTTTAGTTGAAAGTGGTGGTAAGTGGAGAGATAAAAAATCAAGTCGTGTATATGGGGTTAGACAAGGGTGGTCCAGGATATTATCCATGAGTAGTCAACACACCTCATTTTAGCTCACAAAAAAAGAGACAAAGTAAAGAGAAATTACTAAATGATGAAAAAAAATCACCATTTACTGTGGTTAAAGTTTAGCAGGGTGCTAGATGCATATTTCTCATCACCCCTCATTTAGGGAGAATTATGCTTTTTCCTTTTCCCAAAACATTGTTCTCTACCTATTGGTTTATTCCTAAACTTCTTTGGGCAGAAGATACATTCTTTTATAGAGTTAGACTCTGTTGAAGGCCTTGCCACGCAAGTGTAGAATGGTGACCTAAAATACGCTGGACCTGGGGGCTGGGGATTTAGCTCAGCGGCATAAGTGCCTGCCTTGTAATCCTGTGGTCGTGAGTTCGATCCCTGGTACCGGTAAAAATACAAAAATAAAAAATAAATAAATACACTGGACGTCGGTGTCATAAGGAACACCTGAGAGCTAGGCAGGAACAGGATGTACCCAGCCTGGTGTCACAGGCTTGGCGTTCCGTTACCATAGAGAAGGAGGATCACTTGAGCTCAAGAGTCCAAGACCAACCTGGGCAACAACCATTCATGTATCTATATGTATGCCAGGTCCTGTGGTCTTGCAGGAAAAGGACAAGAGATTGTAAGACCGAGGCAGACAGTTTTCTATTGCTCTAAGAAATTACCAGGAAATTGATTACATTTTGGTAGGTCCCAAGGCTGCCATGGGTCTCACTGAGCTGAAATCAGTGGGTTGGCTTAGCAATGAATTCATTTCCTTGTTAGGCTACCATATTCCTTGACTCCTGGACCTTTTCCTCCTTCCAACTCAGCCCCAGCTGGCTGGCTGTCTTGCTGCTGTCTCATTATCCTCTCCTGTCTCTCACAGCCCCTTGTAAAAATTCTCACCATCACATTCAACCCATCCTGCTAAGCCAATACTACTATACCCCAAAGTCAACTCTTAATAACCTTAATTCCTCCTGCAACTTCAATGTCTTGGTCATCTCAATCTAACATATTCCCAAATTGCAGGCCGCTAGAAGGAACCTACAGCACCCATGCAGCGGCGGGCTGTTGCTATCACTGACAGCTCTAAAGGGTTCACGACCCCTGGTTTAGGACATCTCCAGGGTGTGTGGAGCGGGGAGGTTCTTTGTTCTGCCTTTGCAGAGTGAAAGATTCTAAAAGCTTTTATTCTTCAACAAACTCCTGGCTCATAGGTCCATTATTTGCATATCATTCAAGCACTGATTAGAAATGTCAGTAAGAAATGCCCATAACAGACTTCTCCATTTCTTATATTTATATCCACTAAAAAGTCTGTCATTTTTTTCCTAGGCAGGGTCTCACTATGTAATTCAGGCTGGCCTTGAATTCTCAGTAGGACTCTAGCCTCAACCTCCGCTCCCAGCTTAATGTTGAGTTTTAGTTCACTGTTTTTTGTTTTCCCCAACATGAAACAGGACTATGTTTTAGGCTAACAGCTCTTTCTGAGCATCTGCTCAAACTTAGAATGGTTTAGTCTGTCCTCCATAGGTGCTAGTTTACAGTAAGTGGACATTTGACATGGCCAGAAATGTCCCCCCACCACCAGACAGGGTCTTAGGAGATTCCCAAAGCTGAGGTAGGGAACCTAACCCACCCTACCTATAGCACAGGTTAAACGCAAGTTTGTTGACTTCCCTCGTGGAAAATACTTCAGGATGTGTAAGGAGCACTGGAAAGTTTTTTTTTTTTATTTTTTTGTTTTTCTGAGATACAGTCTCACTATGCAGTTCAGACTGGCCTTAAGCTCACTTTGTAGCCCAGGCTGGTTTTGAACTTGCAAGGATCCTCCTACCTCAACCTCCCAAACGCTGGCCACCACCCCCGGTTAGGAAAGGGTTTTTTTTTTTTCCTTTTTCAGACAGGGTTTCACTATGCGGTTCAGGCTGGACTTGAACTCACAGCAGTTATCCTGCCTCCGCCTCCCGAGTACTGGAATTATAGGCTAGTACCACCACACTTGGCCCCTGGAAAGGATTTATAAGGCAGACATTTAAAGGTTAAAAAAAAAAAAAAAAGGTGGCATAAGCCTCTAATGCTAGCATTCAAGAGGCCAAGGCAAAAGGATTGTCATGAGTTTGTGGCTAGCCTCAATTACATGCTGAGTTCAAGGATAATCTGGTGAAATCTGCTCAAAAAAAAAAAAAAAAAAAAAAGAGAGAGGGGACCTTCAAGAGCAAGGCGCATTGATTCCTAGACCTAGAAGACGTTTAGTTTATCCTTTAGAAATGAAAACTCGGGAAAGGCGGCTGTCTCCAGAAGGGTCCGGCCCATTTTACAGGTGAGGGTTTGTGTTTGTTTTTTTTTAAAGAGAGGTAATTTGAACATTCTTTGAATCTTCTCAACCTGTTCCTTTATCGTAGGATCAGCTTCCCGCTTTTATTTTTCCAATTAAACCAATTTATGGACTTACAGTATTTCCGAGGGATTTGGGGTTTGAAAGGAGCCTCAATCTAATCAAGGAATGGTTGATATGGATTACGTTGGGTCCTAGAAGTTGCAGTCTTTATAAAAAGTACAACTTTTAGGTTTTTTCCCCTACCCTCTTTATTTCTTCTATCCTAAATCATCCGTGACTGAAAAGGCATGGCTTCTAGCCGATGAAACAGACACTTTCCTTTTTTTTTTTTTTTTTTTGCTGGTGATCAAAAGCCTTCACTCCCCTCCATGGCCTCTACGTGGGGATGGTCACTGGTTCCCAGTGACAAGGACGCGAAAAGTCCCAGGGAGGCGTGGGGCGGCCTAGGGGGCCCGGTCAGAAGGCGGCGCTCTTCACGGCAGGTGGTCGGGCAGGTCCACAGGCGGTGAGGCAACCCTGAACCTCTCCAGAAGAGCCTAGCCCTCAGACCACCGGAGTTCACCAGAGCCCATCAGACGGAAGACAGCAGTGACCCCAGTTTGTGACAAATTGGATTTCCGGCGCAGGCGCAACAGGCGGCTTCCGGTCCTAGCCCCGCCCCTCCGCCTGGGCCCGCCCACCCCGTTCCATTTAATTGTTGGGTGGCCCGCGCTGCAGTCCCGCCAGCGGCCTGCAGGGGGAAGTATCGGACCCTGGGTTTTCCCCTCGGGCGTCTCCGGCGCGGGTAGGGAAGGCTAGCGAGCGCGAGACCGCAGTTACGTCCGCCACTGCGCGTCTTCGGGTCGGGCTCCGTGGGGCGGCCACGGCTGCTGCTGTCGTGCGGGCTGACGTGAGGCGGCGTCCCGAGCGCGGGCGGCGGTGTCCCCTCCTCCTGCGTCCGTCAGCAGTGACGAGCCGGCTACGTCAGGCCCGGCGCCGCGGTAAGTGGTTCCGCCCGGCCTCGCGGCCGCCCCCGCCCTCGGGCGCTCGCACCGGTAGGTCGGGATCAGCGATGCGGGGCGGCGACGGCCAGGCCGGCGGGGCAGAAGATACGGTCCCGGGGCGCGGAGGCCGGGGCATCGGGCCGCTCGGGTGGATCCGCCAGGCCGCCCCTCCCTGCCGCTTCGGGGGCCGACCACGACCCGGTGTCGTCTCTGCCCCGCACCCGGCGGGGACTGGGGTCCGCGTCCGAGACGCCTGGCGGCCCGAGCCTGCATGATCAGGACGGGAGGAGCCTTGCGAAAAGCCAGCAGGCGACAGCGCCGCCGCCTTTCAGGACGACCCGAGCCTGGAGGTCCGCTGGGCACGTCGAATTCGGTTACGGTCGTAGTTCACCGTCTCTGCTTTGTCCTCCTTTCTGTACCTGATTTTTCTCCTACTCGTGATTTTCTTTTTTAATAAGCTTGTTTTCGTCCATCAGTTAAAATCGTCTTTAATAAATCTTTGAACTTAACGCCTTTCCTCCCAGAGGAACGCACATTTCAAACTGTTTTCGTCGATGAATACTATTAAAACTAATTATTCAAGACTACTTTGTTCTAAACCCTACTTTTTAAAAAAGTGTTTAAATGATTTTGATCCTGGGTGAGTAACTGCATTGCTTTATCAAAATGTCGGTGAATCTGTAAATACAGCACTGTAGCAGATGCTTAGAATCACTTTGGTGAGTGTGAAGTTGTCATTACGGTGATGTTTTGTGTGTCTTTGTAAGAATATGAATAAATTTTTATTGACTATGAACACAGAAGAGCTTTTTAATGGTTTTGTTTTTGTATTGTCTCTGTGAGTTAGTGAAATTTGCCTCTTCTGAATTTTAACAAACTGCACACCCCATAGGTAAACAGGCTGTGTCCTAGTTTCCTACAGGGGCAAGTTACTGTGTAATTAAAGTATAAAGTCTTGTCCAGCGTGTCACAGGCCTGTTATCCCAGCCCTCCAGAAGCTGAGGCAGGATGATCTCTTCCGGTGAGAGTGAGTTCAAAGCCAGCCTAAAACTACACAGCCATACCCTTTTTCAGAAAACAAAAACAGAAACAAACAAATTCTTGTGTAGAATTGTGGTTTCATGAAAAGGAAGGGAGAGTTTTAGGTTATTACCAATATAAACATGATTTTCTGATTTTGTTTGCCCTAATTTGATTTTTCTCTACCACTATGTGTTGGGCCAGAAAACTGAGCTAGGCTTATTGTGGAATTAGTTTAAAGGACGGTCCAGACTGGGAACATTCCAGTTGCAAACTTGCACAGATACAAAAGGCCCTCATGTTACTAACAGATTGAAGCAGTAGGTAGCCCACATGTCTCGTGGCTGTCACAGCTGTACTGCTGTGTCGTCTTTGTACAGTGCCATAGTGTGTAGGAGTACAGTGCTCAGTCAGCCCAGGCTGTCTGGAAGCAAGAGGAAAAACTGTTTTATTTTTTTTTTCTTTTGAGACAGGTTCTCACTATGTAGTTCAGGCTGGCCTTGAACTCCCTATGTAGCCCAGGATGGCCTCAAATTCATGGTGATCTTCCTGCCTCAGCTTCCAAAGTGCTGGGATTTTTTTTTTTTTAAATCAGTATCGAGGTTCGAACTCAAAACCATGCACTTGCAAAGCAGGTGCTTATGCTGCTGAGCTAAATCCCCAGTCCCCCAAAAGTGCTGGGATTACAAGTATGTGCCACCATACCTGACAGAAAATAAACTAAATACCTGAATTTTGTTAACTGTTTCACTGTAACTGAACTGATGGATTCCATATGTAAAAGCCAAATTTGAGAAAAATTATTGTGCCTGGGATGTAAGTCAATATTAACCAAAACAGGCATTTTAAGCTGGGTATGATGATTAATGCCTGTAATCTCAGCAATTAGGAAGCTGGGGCCGGAGGATTGCCATGAATTTGAGGCCAGTTTGGGCTTCGTAGTGAGACCTTGTCTCAAGACAAAAGTGGAAATCATAAACAAGTTTTAACACTTAAAATTATATTAATAATTTCCTTTTTTTTGCCAAGACATTTAGATCCAAAATAATTTCCTTTTACAGAGTAAGGTATTTTAACATTTTCCATGAGAAGTGCACAATAAAGAGTATTATGATTAACAATAAATGCTTTCCTTGGTTTTCTTTTTCTGATGACCTAAGAGATGAGTGAAACCTAAGATCACACTGGTGAGGATTTTAGCCTGATACAGATGAAACTCCTTTACTCTTAAGGTTAAATTCAATTCTAGCAAAGTTTAAACAGTAAAATGAGCCTAATGGCGTAGCCTGGGACTGTAATCCCAGGTCTTAGGAGACTGAGGTGGGAAGATCATGAGTTGGAAACCCGTCTCAAAAAACAAAAGGCATAAAAAGAAATAAATTACACCTATTTTGCACTGATCCTCATTTCTAAGATTGTGAGAGGGAGTTACTGGCAAGAGAGAATTGTTACAATTAGAGAAAAATGCACAGGCAACAGTTCTATGGAAGCTTTGCTCTTAGACTGCTTAAATAACTCCTATGGATCGGGTCATGCTTGGTGGTAAGAATTCAGCAGGCTGTCTAGGAATGAAGAGGCTTCATACATATTTCTACATACTGGTGTGACCAAGGCAGTTAATATCACAATAAAGCTGAGCTTGTGATGCGTTTTTGTAACCCTAGCACTCTGGGAGACTGAGGCAGAGGCATTGCAAATTCAAAACCAGCCTGGCAATTTGGTGAGTTGGCCAGACTCTGTCTGAACAAAAAAGGACTAGTGTGTAGTTCCCGGAGGAGCCCTGGGTTCACTTACCAGTCCTGCCAGCAGTCAGAACTCTGAAATGTTAAGATTGGGGCCAGAGCTTGGATGGTGCAAGCCTGTAATCTCAGGATTCTTGAAGGCTGAAACAGGAGATTTGCAAATTCAGGGCCATCCTGGGCAATTTAACAAGCAGCAGATGGGAAATTAATTGGGAAAGATGTTTTGATAGTTCATCCTTTAGGAAATTTAATAGACCAAAGGCTCTTAAAAACGGGTATCTCAAGCTATATACTTAAGTTTCTAAATTGGAGTAGCCTTGAATCTATGTTATTTTATATTTATAAAATAAGCTTCCTTCCTTATATATAATTCATATGTGAAACATTAAAGACATTCACAAGTGTTTGGAATGTTTATTTCCAAGGGTTCCTTCTGGCCATTCCTATTTTTACATAAACATGTAAAACTTATTTCAAAGTTACTGTAACTTTCTTTCACAAAGAGTACAAAGCTTTGAAAGTCACAAAACTTTTTCTCTTTTTTAACATCTCTTTTAAGGTACATGATAAATTTGGGCTCGTCTTTTATCAGTTACAAATACATGGCTGTTTGAAATTACTTCTCTCTTCTCAAGGATTTCTCCTCCAGTTTTTCTTTCTTCTTCCTTTCACTTCTTCTCCTGGCCTTTCCAGTGAACTATATCTTCAGACCTTACTTATTTTAATTTTGAAACAGGATCTCACTAAATTTCTGAATTGTTCAAACTGGCCTCCAGCTTCAGTCGTCCTGCCTCAAGCCTCCCAGAGCACTGAGCCCAGGCCTGGGTTACCAACTTTTTCATCAAAGCCTGTTCACGATGTGAATTTCATGTTTTTTCCAGTATTTTCCAGCCTTTATTATTGCTACTTAAATTATAGTTAACCTACACTGATCTTAAACAACTACACATGTTCTTCATCTTAGAATTAAAGCAGTACTGTATACTTTTCTGTGTGCTTTTTCTTCCTGTTGCTATTAAGAGTGTGCTGCTTTTTAGTAAACATGTTTTTTTTTCCTTTTGGCTTTGTTCCTTTTTTTTAGCCTTCTTGCAAGTACCATCTCAATGGTACATAATTTGCAGACTCCATTTTTAGCATTTTAAAAGTGGAACAGGAATTTAGAAGACTGGGCCTAGTGGCACACCTCTGTAATCCCAGGACTGCTTGTCAAGTTCAAGGCCAGTGTGAATTGCATAGCAAGACCCTGTTTCAAAAAGCCAAACCAAGGGGCTGGGGATTTAGCTCAGCGGCATAAGCGCCTGCCTTGCAAGCAGGCAGTCGTGAGTTCGATCCCTGGTACCCATAAAAATGAAAAAGACCAAAAAAAAAAAAAAAAAAAAAAAAGCCAAACCAAAAACTGGGAGTGTCTTATGAAGAACTCGTTATTTTTGTGTTAATGCCCAGTATTTTGTAGTTATCTCAGGCTGCAATGTGGCCCCAAAGCAGAATTTTTAAAAAACAGTAACGAAAAAATGGCTCAGTATATTTCCAAAGCTTTCAACTTAGTTTCCAGAAGAGCAGTTCTTTTTCCATCATTGTATAAATCCTGCGTGTGTGTGTGTGTGTGTGTGTGTAGTATGTAAGTGAGGTACTGAGGATTGAACCCAAGGACACTACCACGGAGCTACATTCCCAGCTCTTTATTTGCCAGAGGGTCTGTTAGATTCCTCAGACTGGCCGTGAACAATGGGATCCTCCTGCCGCAGCCTCCTGAGTGCTATTATAGGCGTGCACCCCTCATTTGATTCTGATTAATTGTTTTACGTAGCGTACTGTTTAGCAAGCGTGGTGGTCGGGATGCACAGTTATCTTGGTGAGCAGACAGTCCTGCTGCCAGGAACAGAAGTGCTAGGCCAGTGGAGACACACTTTTCATCCTCCTGCCTCAGCCTCCTAGAGTGGCATGTGCTATTCCACCAAGCTCAGGGAAATTAATTTTCTTTTTTTTTTTATTAGTAGCAAAGTTTTATTAAAGATAGGAAAAGGATCAGGCAGCACAGTGTGAGTTTGGGTCAAGTGAAAGTAGGAAAAACTGCAGCCTGCAGCATGAGGGTGGCCACAAGGTAAGCATGATCATGTGAGTTCAATCCTCAAAGAAAAAAATCAATCAAAGAAAAAAAGAAAATTTGTAGAATAAGGGAATGATGTCAGTACCTACGTGATTTCAGGTGTAAAAAGATCACCTAAAAATTTAAAGCTCAGATGTTTGAAACACGATCCTGAATTCCAGGGGATGTTAGGTTACATAGCATAGTTTTATGTCAGGCCTATCATGGGAACATACGAGGACATTTGAGCCCTAAACCAGTCCCTGGGGTTGGGAGTGAGGTGCTGGATTCAGCCCTTGTCATCGTGATAAGAGCGGGTTCTAAGGCTTTGAGACTGATTTGGAATGCTTCAAAAAGCAGCTGAGATTTCAGGGGTTCATAGCATATACTGATGGAAACTGGGGCCCCTGCTTTACAAATGTCCAGGATTAAATCTGCATGTGGGATGCTGAAGGGACAGGAATGACATTCCTCAGCCCAAACGCTTTTACACAGGTTTTATTAAACCTCCATCTAAGTACCTTACATGTGCAAAACTCTGGATATTTCAGGGCAAGGGGGACCGGTGGAGAATTTTAAGTAAGGAAATACCAGGTTCGCGTTTCAAACAGTGTTGTGGGCAGGTGGAGTGAATTCCAAGAAGTGGAGAGGAAGTCGGAGTGCAGTGATGACAAGGACACTGACGTTGCTTGGAGCGGTTACTGCTTTGATCATGACACGCGTGAGCTGGGTGGGAATGAAAGAATGGCAGGGAGGGTGGTGGGAACGGAGGGGAGGAAAGGGCTATTTAGGAGGCGGAATCACTAGGGCTGAGTATGCTGACACTCCTAAACTCCCATGCCAAGCCCAACTAGACATTCTGCATTCATTTCTTTGCTTTCTTCTCACGTGATTTGGCCAAAAATAAAGACTGCAGTTAAGCCACGTACACCTGGAGGATGGGAAGTTTGAGTTTCCCTATGTCAAATGCAGGCTTGTGCTGGGCATGGAGGCACATGTCTGTAATCCCAGCCTGGGCAGGCTATCAATTTAGTAAGACCCTGTTTCAAACCATAAAAGTAAAAAAGACCAAGCAGGAAGAAATTTAATAATTTCAACAGTTGTCCAAGATCACATGACTAATACGAGGTAGAGGTCATTCACTCCAAAGCCAGTGACTGCCCCCCAGTTCCACCTGAGCCCACGATGCCCCCTGGGGATGGAGGTGAGGGAGCTGAAGACCCTAGGGAGGCCTGCCAGGGAGAGAGAGCATTCTGGGTTTGAGGCCCCTGGGAACAACCCCAAAAGAAGCTGTGAGGGACAGGCCGAGGGGTGGGCCGGAGGGGAAAGCTGGCTCTAGCGGCACCCTGGCCATCAGAACAAGGTGAAGGCCTGGGGAGGCTGCGAGGAGACTTGCACCCAGGGACTACAGATCTTAGCTGAAGAGTGGGCCGAAGCCCACAACACACAGGACCAACTGAGTGGAAGGGAAAACATAAAAGCCACGGAGGGCAAGACTTCCTGGGGGGATGGAATGCTGAGGGGCGCTGAGGAAAATGGAGACCAGAGCAGTCTTTCAGAGCTGGCAAGCAGGCATGCCATCACTGACTTCTCCATCAGTGCGGCTGGTTGCAGGAAGCTGGCACTCTCTTCAGTGCTGTGAGCTTCTGGGAAAGGGGATGTGGCGGCTGTGGCTGGACTTCTGCACTGAGTACCTTCTACTATTTACAGTTTTGAACTATAAGAGTGTGTTACTATTTGAGAAAAACATATCCAAGGAAATGTAGAGATGAGCAGTCATTCCTGTTACATGGTGCCATGGTCATGGTTGCTCCAAATAATATTTTGCACCAAATAGTCATTTCCGTTTGTTTATGCATCTTTTTCCCTATGTCGAATGCAGGCTTGTGCTGGGCATGGAGGCACATGTCTGTAATCCCAGTACTCGGGAGGCTGAGGCAGGATTACAAATTTGAGGCCAGCCTGAGCTACATAGTGAGTTCAAGGCCAACCTAGGCTACAAAGTGAGACTGTCTCAAAACACAAACAAGTTGACTGGCATGGAGAGAATCACTTTGGTGGGGACCCTGGAGACATGGTGTCCACACTAAGCACCACCATTGCTGGCAAAGTACCCAGCATTCTTCGGAACAAGAATCATTCTTTCCTGCACTAAAATAAAAGAGTCTTAGTTACTTTTTTGCCTTTTATTTGTGAATTTTATTTCCTCCGTGCGTCATTTCTTGGGGGAAGAGCTGGAAAAGGAACCCAGAACTTTGCACATCTTAGGCAAGCACTCTGGTGTGAGATCCATGCCCTGCCTCTCAAATGTGTATTTTTGAGAAGATACTAGTTAAAATTAGGGCGTATCCAAACCAGTTTTGACAGTGGACTGAACGCTCCTATGAAATTTAAATGAACTGTGATATTTTACTTAATTTGACTCATGTTTGAATTAAAGGTCAATGCAAAATGGGTGATGTGTTGCCATTGAATGAAAGTTTAAAGAATGATAAATACACCTGCCTTGAAAGCAGGTAGTCATGAGTTAGATCCCGGTACCGATAAAAAGGGAAAAGACAAAAAAAAAAAAAAAAAAGAATGATAATATCATTTATTAAAGAGAGCTGATGACTGAGCTGTACACTGTGTATTTGATGAGATTGTGCTGCTTTCACTTTAGTAGAGAATAATTTAAGAAGTAGTGTAGCATTTAAATTTTGTGAATTTATTTCCCTGGGAAGAAAATTGAATGATATATAAATAAGATTGAAGAAAAGCAATGCAGAGTTCTCTTTCCACTATCTATTCTTTTGTGCTTTTTTTGTTATGTTTTATTTTTAGTTTTACATAGACTTTTTCCTGGCCTAGCTTTGAGGGATTTTAATATTTTAAAAATAAAATGTTATGATCTCCCTACTTAATTTTATGGTTTCACTGCAGGGTATATAAAGAAGAAAGTGGAGAAGGAGCAAAGAATTGATTGCAAATGTCTTAATAATGAGCAAATGTGGCAGGAAAAAATACATTAAGACAAATACAAGGTAGGTGGATATGTTTTTCTGCTCTTTTGAAGGTTATGCCTAGAGAGCTAAAAGTTAAAATGGTGAATGAGTTAATGGTATGTAGGTATATACGCACGTATATGTGAATATATGTGTATACATTATAGCAATATGTACTCAGAGTGTTAGTTAATTCTTGACTTGGGCTGCAAACTAGAATATCATCTACATATTGCAGGATGGTTCCTTGTTCTAGTTTTAGGTTTCTCAAGTCTTTTGTAGCACCTGAGCAAAAAGGTCAGAACTCTCTAAACCTCTGTGGGAAAACTGTGTGTGTTGGGTTTTTTTTTTTTTCTTGATAAGAGATTTTCTTTCATTCAAAGGCAACAGAAACAGTGTCTGTAGGGGGATGGGAAAGAATGCCTCCTTTAAATCTAAGACTGAGACCAATTAATATCACCTGGAATTTGGGAGAGACTTATGTTGGGATCTTCCCCCAGAAGTTAGATTGGAGTAATAGCCTTGCTAATTAGGTAGAGGCCTTGTGCCATCCTGTATTCTCCTGAGGGCTTTATGACAGAACAGGAGTGGTCAAGGGAGGCTTCAGAAGGCCGTGTTTTAGAAACCTAAATATGAGAGGCTGGAGGCCTTTATGAGCCCTTTCCTTGATTGGGTATTGTATTCAGCTAGGAGACCAGCTGGTAACTACTGGCTTAGCAGGATTTCCCTTGTAACGTGCAGCAGGATCCACCTGCTGGCTAATGTGGTCTGGGAGACCTGGTGTAGTCCAAGCAGGTAAAAATCCATTTTAGCCTCAGCTGGAACTTGAAAATTACTTCCAGTGTTGTTAATAAATCTCTTCTGAGCAAGACAGTAGGATACTGTAAGACAAGAGGAACTCATAGTTAAACATTTGACCTTCACAGTGACACATCAGAGGTCAGGAAAGAATCTCCAACTAGGGGTCCCATTGACCCCAACTATGGGATAGGCCTAGAGGAGTTTTCCAGAGAAGGAAATCGAAACAGAATGAGCCGTGTCTGTCTATAAGCAGTGGAATTCCTCACCCATGATGTGTAAGATTACCCAGTGCTCTTCAGAGAAGATGGTGATGTCCATGCACAGGTTCACTGCAGGTTCCTCTGGAGCTCTTCAGTCATCAGAGCAGGAAATGAGCTTTCTGGCTGACCTGGCCCCTGTCTGGGAATGGGGCAGTGAGGCCTCCAGTGCCAGGAGTCAGGCACATCAGCTGCCTCACATTTAGTGCAGGGTCCAGGTAGAGGCTTAGTGCAATCTTGTGCCCACATCCAGTCTTCTTACACTTGAACAGGACGACCTCTGTCGTCCTTGGGTTGTGTTTTGTTTTCCTTAGATGACTTGAGGGGGTTTAAACTATCACCAATTGCAACAGCCATAATCTTAGCCTTTCTCTCTTCTTCCTCCTCTGGGTCCTGATTGCTAAACACAGAAAAGGCCATTGTCAGCAGTTGGGTTTTATGTACATCTGAGGTCCTATCTAAAGCTTTTGTAGCCTACATCAAATATCTGGAGCTGACTGACAAATGAAATATCTCGTTAGTGCCTCTCCCTCCCTAGCAGATGGATCTATATTTGTATACTTGTGGAAGGCCTCTGCTAATTGGTTGCAAAGCAAAGCTGGATTTTCTTCTGTGCCCTGTAAGACCCTACTCCCTTTATTATAATTAAACTGTGTAATGCACATTTTCATCACAATATAAGAGCAGCTAGCACACTAGACTTCATTTTTAGTGCATCCCATACCCATCTTTTTCCACCTCCCAGTTTGTATTGAACCCAAGCCATATTACAATGATAGATAAGTTGTTCTTGTTTTAAATTGTCAGGTTCAAACCTGTCCCATTCATCAAGGATACACCTAGTGCAATGGTGATGAGATCTATATTTCCCAGCTGGTTGTCTTCAGACTTAGAGCGAGAAGGGAGACAACCTGGCCTCTGCTCCTTAAGGTGGCATCCCATGCATAAAGACACCTGAAATCTACAAGGTGCTCGTCATGTGACTTTACAAAACCCAGCAGATGTCTCTGAGATCTTTAGAGTGATGTCAGCATAGGTTTACATAGACCACAGAAGAAACCCCTTTCATAGTGTGCATTTGTCTCCACATCTTGACCCATTAACCCATTAGAGAGAGGGGACTGGATGATCTGTTCTCCTTGCTTTGTTCAAACTCCCAGGAGGTAATGGCAGAACTTTCCCAGGCAGAGCTCATTTAACCACCTCATTGGAACTCTTGCACTTAGAAATCATGTAGTAAGAAGGGTTGTGGGTATAGCTCAGTAGCATAAGCACCTGTCTGGCAAGCACAAGGTCATGAGTTCAATCCCTGGTACTCCCCACCAAAGAAGTCATGGTAAAAATATCTCTTGCATGTACTCTAACAGAAGAAGTACTAAGAATTGGGATGGCTGGGTTTTTTTGTTTTTCATTTACAGTTATTTAAATTAGCTGTTCTGTTTATCTTATCTGCATTTAAACAGGGAAACACAAATGTCAGGTAATAATGGTCTTATGCAGGCTCTTGAACCTGAGAGGAAAATATTGCTGGCCCTGGATTCTGCTAAAAAGGATAAGTTTTGTTTTTTTTTTTGTTGTTGTTGTTGTTTTTCTTTCATTCCCATTGTTCCCACTCCCTTGGCTAGGTAAGACAGTAACCCTGCTGTAGTGGAAGCAGGCATCTATCCTGGGGCCAGCAGCCCCAGTTCTCCAGTGCTGTATGAGTTCTTTTTTTTTTTTTTTAACATAATCCTAGAGAACTGGAACTGTATGAGTTCTTAAGGGATAGTACACTGTTTCTGTTTTTCTTTTTGTGCTGTGTTTAGGTGTCCCTCAAAGCCTCATACAGTCATGGGGGGACTTTTCCAGAAATGAGTGGATCTCGACTGTGTGATGCTGGGATTGATTCGTGATGTATTGCTAGGATCAAGGGCAGGAGGATTAAGGGCATGAGTGCTACCTGCACTGAGTACCCTAGATAAGATATAAGAGATATAAGGAGAACTATGGTTGTCTCTTGTTGCTTTGCTACCTTCTGCCCATCGTGAACTGTTTCTTCTTTATGGTGCCCATCGCCCATGCCATCCTGCCTTGGAGCCAGCTGGTTATGGACTGAAACACCTACAGATTGTGATCTACATAAGCCTTTACCCCTTTAACATTGTGTATCAGGTATTTTGTCTCAGCAATGAGGAAAAGCAACTGAGACAGAATTTGGTATCAGAAGTGGGGTCACTGTGTGACTGTACTTGGCCATGTGTTTATGAGCCTTTGGAGCTGGCTTGTGTGAAAGTGAAGAGTTAGGGGGCTGGGGATTTAGCTCAGCAGCATAAGCGCCTGCCTTGTGAGCAGGCAGTTGTGAGTTCAATCCCCGGTACCAATAAAAAGGAAAAAGACCAAAAAAAAAAAAAAAAAAAAGAAAAAGAAAAAAGAAAAAAAGAAAGTGAAGAATTAGGTAAGGTTTAGAGATGCTGGCTAAAAAGGTAGAGCTGGAATGCCTGAGGCTATACTTGATGGGAGATTCTGGTTAGAGTTCAGAAGACCAGATGGCTGACAGAAATTCTGCCAGGATGGGGCTGGGGATTTAGCTCAGTGGCATAAGTGCCTGCCTGGAAAGTATAGGGTTGTGAGTTCAATTCTTAGTACCAAAAAAAAAAAAAAAGAAATTCTGCCAGTAAAGACCAGGCTCAGTAGACTTCTGCTGGGAAGAACATTGGTTATTGGACTCCAGATGATGTGTTTTATTTCTTGGCAGAAAGTTTGTCTGCATTGTGCTTGTGTCCAGAGACTCTGCCTGCGACTGAGAGTAAGGGCAGCAGGTTAATCTGGCACAAGAAATTTCAAAACAGTCTAATGTTGAGGTGGTGACATGGCTATGTTTGGGGGCATTTAGCTAGATTGATGTTGAGAGCCAAGAGCAAAAAGCCCAGCAGAATGATTTAAAACTTTTTGAGTTTATCCAGAAAGGAAGCTCCAGTAAAGTTGTGGCCTGCAGAAATGGAACAGAGGAGAAACTGGTTGCCGAAGAGATTAGTTAGAAAAAACCAAGTATCTGAGAAGAAAACACAAAACATGACCTGAAGATATCACAAGAACCAACAGAATTCCAGGCTCCACAGCCTTGTAGTTGCAAAGGCGAAAGCCTTTGTGTAGAAGAACAAGTGGGTGGCTCTCCTTGAATGCAGAATTATTACCTCCGCATGAGTTAAACCAGGCCCTGTTATGCACAGTTGTACTGTTATGCACAGCCCTAGCTAAGCTATTTCCCTTTCCCTTCAATTGGCTTTAAGCAATGCAAATAAGGCTTAGTGAAGTACTGATATATAACCCTTGAGGCAGGCCACAGTTTCCTGTTTCCTCACATTGCCTTCCCCATAAATGATTAAGCACAGTGTGATGGCAGAGCCATTTAGCTCCAGGAATGTCAACTAGGTACCAGCCTCAATTTAAGAGGCTATTACTTCCCAGGGACACAAGTTTACATATCAGAAACTGAAACAGCAGCCTCCTAAATCCTTCAAAGGCTGCACTAACTGGGTTATGCAGACTGTTCCTTCTGCATATCCTTCTTTGCATATTGCGGAGGTGCTTGCTCTCCACCTGGCCAGCTCACCTCACAATGCTCAGGTAATTCCTGCCATCCTTACTGTCACACATCCTTGAGCCACTCCCTTCTTCGTGGGATAATACATTCTGGGCCTTGGATCAGGGCCTTTGTTCCTCACCTGGACTGCACTCAGGACCCCTTGGCTTCCCACAACTTTGAATATGGCTTAGTGTCTTTATTCTCAATGTGGTTGCATTGGAGGTGGTAGTGATATAGGGGAATGAAACACTCAACCTACTATGTCCACTTGTGATCTCTGAAACCGAAGAATGAATTTTAGGAACAACAGAGGTGAAGAGTAGAATATGTTATTGAGAGAAAGGAAGCTTCCGTCTGAAGAGAGACGGAAGGCGTTGTGTGTGGGTTGCCAAGGACTTTGTCTTTTTCAGGGACTT